CCTCCCTGGGGTCCCCCGGGGTTAGTACCTCCCTGGGGGTAGTACCTCCCTGGAGGTAGTACCTCCCTGGGGGTAGTACCTCCCTGGAGGGTAGTACCTCCCGAGGTTACCTCCCTGGGGTAGTACCCCCCCGGAGGGTAGTTTCCTCCCTGGAGGGTAGTACCTCCCTGGAGGGGTTTGTACCTCCCTGGAGGTAGTACCTCCCTGGAGGGGAGTACTCCCGGTGGGTATACCTCCCCGGAGGGTAGAAACCCCCCTGGTGGGTAGTACCTCCCTGGAGGGTATACCCCCCTGGGGGGTAGTACCTCCCTGGGGTAGTACCTCCCCGGAGGGTATCCTCCTGGTGGGAGTACCTCCCTGGAGGGTGTACCTCCCGGTGGGGTAGTACCCCCCTGGTGGGTAGTACCTTCCTGGAGGGTAGTACCTCCCGGAGGGTAGTACCCCGGGGGACCCCTGGGGGTAGTACCTCCCCGGAGGGTAGTACCTCCCTGGTGGGTGTACCTCCCTGAGGTAAGTACCTCAACCCCTGGGGGGTAGTACCTCCTGGGGGTAGTACCTCCCTGGAGGTATATCCTCCCCTGGAGGGTAGTACCTCCCTGGGGGTAGTACCTCCCTGGAGGGTAGTACCTCCCCGGTGGGGGAGTACCCCCCTGGAGGGTAGTACCTCCCCGGAGGGTAGTACCTCCCTGGGGTAGTACCTCCCTGGAGGGGATACCTCCCTGGTGGGTAGTACCTCCCTGGAGGGTAGTACCTCCCTGGAGGGTAGTACCTCCCTGGAGGGTAGTACCTCCCTGGTGGGTAGTACCTCCCTGGAGGGTAGTACCTCCCTGGAGGGTAGTACCTCCCTGGAGGGTAGTACCTCCCTGGAGGGTAGTACCTCCCGGGGTAGTACCTCCCTGGTGGGTAGTACCTCCCCGGGGGTAGTCCTTCCTGGAGGGTAGTACCTCCCTGGAGGGTAGTACCTCCTGGGGGTTAGACTCCCGGGGAGTACCTCCCTGGAGGGTAGTACCTCCCTGGTGGGTAGTACCTCCTGGAGGGTAGTACCTCCCTGGGTAGTTTCCTCCTGGAGGGTAGTACCTCCCTGGAGGGTAGTACCTCCCTGGAGGGTAGTACCTCCCTGGAGGGTAGTACCTCCCTGGAGGGTAGTACCTCCCTGGAGGGTAGTACCTCCCGGGGGTAGTACCTCCCTGGGGGTAGTACCTCCCTGGTGGGTAGTACCTCCCTGGAGGGTAGTACCTCCCTGGAGGGTAGTACCTCCCTGGAGGGTAGTACCTCCCTGGTGGGTAGTACCTCCCTGGAGGGTAGTACCTCCCTGGAGGGTAGTACCTCCCTGGTGGGTAGTACCTCCCGGAGGGTTTGTACCTCCCTGGAGGGTAGTACCTCCCTGGGGGTAGTACCTCCCTGGAGGGGAGTCCTCCCTGGAGGGTAAATACCTCCTGGAGGGTATACCTCCCTGGAGGGGAGTACCTCCCTGGGGTAGTTTCCTCCCTGGAGGGTAGTACCCTCCCTGGAGGGTAGTACCTCCCTGGTGGGTAGTACCTCCCTGGAGGGTAGTACCTCCCTGGAGGGTAGTACCTCCCTGGAGGGTAGTACCTCCCTGGTGGGTAGTACCTCCCCGGGGGGTAAATACCTCCCCGGAGGGGTATGTACCTCCCTGGAGGGTAGTACCTCCCTGGAGGGTAGTACCTCCCCGGAGGGTAGTACCCCCTGGGGGTATACCTCCTGGAGGGGAGTACCTCCCTGGGGGTAGTACCTCCCTGGAGTAGTACCTCCCTGGAGGGTAGTTACCTCCCCTGGAGGGTAGTACCTCCCTGGTGGGTAGTACCTCCCTGGAGGGTAGTACCTCCCTGGAGGGTAGTACCTCCCTGGTGGGTAGTACCTCCCTGGAGGGTAGTACCTCCCTGGAGGGTAGTACCTCCCTGGAGGGTAGTACCTCCCTGGAGGGTAGTACCTCCCTGGTGGGTAGTACCTCCCTGGAGGGTAGTACCTCCCTGGAGGGTAGTACCTCCCTGGAGGGTAGTACCTCCCTGGAGGGTAGTACCTCCTGGAGGGTAGTACCCCGGAGGTTTGTACCTCCTGGGGGGTAGTACCTCCTGGAGGGTAGTACCCCCCTGGAGGGTTAGTACCTCCCTGGTGGGTAGTAAACCCCCTAGGATTAGTACCTCCCTGGAGGGTAGTTTCTCCTGGAGGGTTATGTTAACATTTTTGGGGGGTAGGTTTCTTTTTGTAATACATGCGTTGAGGTAGCATGTTAACCTTCAAGAATTTCCCGAATGGTGCATTTTCCTCCTAAATCAACCTTCCGCACAAGTTTTGACATGTCGAACCCTCAAATTACGCTATATGGGGATATAATTCATTTTTAATCAAGGGGAAGCTAACCGGGGGTATACCCCTGGGGGGGGGGGTGGACATCGCTTAATTGGGAACAGAAATCCATTCCCTAATAAGACCCTCACCAAATAAAAAACCTTCCTTGGGGATATGGGGGAAACCTCCTGGGAAAAACGTGATAATTGGTTGGGAGAAACCTCTGGAAAGGGCATGTCCTTTGTACGAAATTATTAATTTTGTAAAAATTAAAACTAAAGTGGAGGTATTTAAATTCTGTATTAAGTTATAATTTTTAAGTTCTTTTGTCAAAATTATTTTACAGAACAAAATAAAAAATAACCGGAAGGAGAAATTTTGAATGGAATTTAGGTTCTTGGGAATTGAAAGTTTTGCCTATTGGCAGTATTTATATATTATATATATATATATATATATATATATATATCTAATATTAATATATATATATATATATATATATATATGTCGTGCCGAATATGTAAAACTGGTCAATTAGCAAGAACTCATTTAAAATTTAATCCTTTCTATAAATTTCTCTTATACGTTTAAAGATATATTTTTTTCATTAATGTTAATCAAAAATTTTTTAATTTTGCTCCAAAAGAATCTTAGAAAACTTACCTAACCTTATTATAACGAGAACAATTTATTTTAGCCTAACCCAACTAAATATATTTTAGATTTGTTTACAGTAATTTAACACTAAACAAACACAGTGAAATATATTTTTTTCGTTAGGTTCAGAATGATTTTGGCGAAATTATTGCATACACAAATTTTCACTTGTCCTATATGGCAAGATGAGCGTTGCTATTTAAGCCAAGATCGCAAGTTCTGCCTATTCGGCACGACATATATTATATATATTATATATATATATATATATTATAATATATATTATATATATATAATATATATATATATATAATATATATATATATATATATAGCGAGAGATAGATAGATAGAGAGAGAGAGAGAGAGAGAGAGAGAGAGAGAGAGAGAGAGAGAGAGAGGAGAGGAGAGAGAGAGAGAGAGAGAGAGAGAGAGAGTGAGAGAGAGAGAGAGATTTACGTAGAGTGACAGAACATAAGAAAGAAGGAACACTGCAGCAGGCCTACTGGCCCATACGAGGCAGGTCCAAGACTCCTACCGGCTTTATTATTATTATAATCAAAAAGAAGCGCTAAGCCACAAGGGCTATACAGCGCTCCCTACCGGCTTTAGCCAATGCCCCAACCTAGTCAGGTCAGGTCACCTTCACAGGTCCAACTCACACCCACCCACACCCACTCATGTATTTATCGAACCTATTTTTAAAACTACACAACGTTTTAGTCTCAATAACTGTACTTGGGAGTTTGTTCCACTCATCCACAACTCTATTACCAAACCAGTACTTTCCTATATACTTCCTGAATCTGAATTTTTCCAACTTAAAACCATTGCTACGAGTCCTGTCTAGGCTAGATATTTTCAGCACGTTATTTACATCCCCTTTATTTATTCCTGTCTTCCATTTATACACCTTAATCATATCCCCCCTAATTCTACGCCTTTCAAGAGAGTGCAGATTCAGGGTCCTCAGTCTATCCTTAAGCCCATTGTCATCAGTCATTATCATTACTAACACTATGGCCCTCACTGTCATAATGACATTACTATGATACTATCACAACCAATGTTACCACCATCATTACCAACATAGCCATCAGCACCCTCATTACTACCAGCATTACCATCATAACGAACATTACCATCTGGGAGGGAGGGGGATGCGGCATGACCTGGCCTCCGTCTGTGCCCATGTATCACCGACCTTCACCGGGAACCGGTTTTATTCCTCTGGAGGCGAGCGTCACCTGACCAAACATGTGTTCCCTCTCACCTCGTTTCTGAGTAAAATCCCAGCCAATGAAAAAGAATAGTTGTTGCACATTTTAATTTTGAATTAAGTGTTGTTTGTTGAAGTTCCTTTAGCGAGAATTTACGTGTTTTTAATTAAACGTTCAGAGGAGAAAGGTAGTGGAATGGGAGGGGGAGAAAGCAAGTGCCCCAATAATTGGTATTCATACTATATGCCAATTTCGTTATCACTGTGGATAACTTGAAAATTTGGTCAAGAAGTGCTGGTGTATGAGTGCCAGGAGGGTTGAGCATCCTTGTGGCAGGTGTAGGTAGTAGCGGGCAGGTGAGGTGAACACTAATTGGTCCAGGTGGCTGGAGTGGAGCAGGTTACGGAAGGTATGGTCAGATGCCACCCACTTTCTCTCCTTAACACAAACTTCTCATATACTTTCGTTTAAACTGAGATATCTCCTGTATTGCATCTTTTTTCTTTGTGCTCTTATCATTTCTTAGTCTGAAACTGATGACAACCTTTATGAAATGGTGTTTCATGTGAGATATTTAAAGGAAGACAGCACATGGATGGGGTCGCACTAGGCAAGTGACGGGCACCAGGACTCCAGGTGTCGCTGGAATATTTCCACCCAAACTCACTCAATATTCTATTACACACGCTTAATCTAGATTTATGTGGTAAATCACAGTAAACATTCCTTGGCTACTGAATCAGAGACTCAATACAAAAGTTAAGATATGACGTTTGTATAATTAAAAAGTTGGTTAAAGAATGAGTGGTGTGTAGAAGAGCGAGGGTGGGTCTGTCTGACGATGCTCACTCGTCCCCGGGCGGCCCGTCATGGCGACCCTGGGCCAGCTGGTCGCAAACAGTTTGTGGTTCGCCTTCGATGCCCTGGATCAACAGAAGACCGGAGTCGTGCCTAAAAGCAAACTAAAGGTAAGGCAATGTACACATGTAGACAACCGTCGGAAGCGCTGTGGTGCATGAGCTGGAGTCGTAAAAATCGCAGGGTGCCGCAAGGTGTAAGAACCTATCTTGACTCTCGCTATAGTGGCCCCGACCTTCTGACCCTTGCCCCAGCAACGACCTCTCACCCTATAACCTCCGTATACGCAAGTAGGCGCGTTATGCATGTTATGTCCAGAATATAGGGGCACAAAACCAAAATACTAGTACGGTAATCGCTTCATAAATGGCAGGTGCAGCTGAAACAGCCTGCATGAGTTTGATAAAGGGCACTGAGTGGACCCCCGCCAAGATCGTACATGACCCTGCAGGTCGTGTCACCGCAAGTCATAAACACAATGTGAAACAACAAAATTTGTCACCCTTACATTTTATAAATTTCTAACATTTTTTACTGTTTGTTATCTGTTTGAGTGTGCAATTGATAATATACTTTATAGATGCTTGTTTGCTTGTTAAAGACAAAATTAATATTACTAGGTTTGTGTGTGCAAGTATTTGCATGTGTACATGTGTTTACACCATTAAAGAGTTTCACTGGAATTGTTCCCGAGGCTACAAATCACATATGGAGAGTAAATTAGCCTGTACGCTTACATAATACAGTTATTATAATTATTATATTAAAAATGCACCAACCCTAATGAATCATACATAAATCGTGATATTAGTTTCTATGCGACAACACTGTAATGTTTATAATGATCAGCTTCCAACCCAACACCGATGTAAATTACTTAAAGGAAGGTTAGGATTATTATATTGCTATTATAATGAAAAATAAGCGCTAAATCCACAAGGATCACACAGCACTGCTCTTATTACAGCTCCTGACACTTTTAAGGGCCAGGAATTCTTGAGTGTGAGCTAAAACTCCCGGGCCTACCTGGAGGGTATTCCGGAGATCAACGCCGGGGACTACCGCCCACAGGATGGGTATTGGGTGCATAATAAAGATATTAAACTAACCACGCGGCCCGGTCCACGACCAGGCCTCCCGGTGGATCAGGGCCTGATCAACCAGGTTGTTACTGCTGACCGTACGTAGTCCTACATATGAACCACAGCCCGGCTGATCCGGCACCGACTTTAAGTATCTGTCCAGCTCCCTCTTGAAAGCAGCCAGGGGTTTATTGGCAATTTCCCTTATGCTGGTGGGAAGCTGTTGAACAGTCTTGGGCTCCGGACACTTACTGTGTTTTTTCTTAGTGTACCAATGGCACTCCTTTTCATTGGGGGTATGTTGCACCGCCTGCCCAGTCTTTTTCTTTCGTAGGGAGTGATTTGTGTGTGCAGATTAGGGATCATTCCTTCTAGGATTTTCCAAGTTTAGATTATATCTCTCGCCTGCGTTCCAGTGAGTACAAGTCAAGTGCTTCCAGGCGTTCCCAGTAGGACCCCAATGGAAATAAGTCATTCTGTTTGACATTTTTGGGTTATCCTAGGTACTTTACACATATGCTATGTATGATAATCTATGTAACTGTATTTGTGTATACCTGAATAAACTTACTTACCCAGTAGTTAAGGTGTTTGACGGAACTTATATGTAAAGTAAAGGTTCTCTGTACATTCTCTAGATCTGCAGTTTCACCGATAATAATAAAATCAAATAACGAGTTAAACCCTAGAGGGTCATGGACCTCTTCAAGATGTTGCTCTACAAATGCTGGACCTCTTGGGATGATTGAGTTATGGGGCTGCACCCTCGAGGGTGCAGCCCCATAGCTCAGTCATTCTAAGAAGCAGAGTAGCTGCAGCTACTCTGCTTCTTGAGGATTTGAACGTACAGCTGTGCCTTTTGTGTGCATAAGGTGCAGGGGGCTGGGGTTACGGGATGTGGGGGATTTTTCAGAGCGTACAACGACCCAAACACATTCCTCCTCTTTCCCGAGCTGCGACCAACACGAGCCGGATAACGCCCGGGTACTTACTGCTAAGTGAACAGAATAATCCGAATGCATTCTTCTTTTTCATTTTCTTCTTCTCCAAGTGTCTTTACCTACTCCAGTTTCGTCACTGGTAGCGCCTTCGATTGTGAACCAAAGGAACTACCACTGAACTACTCATAAGTGTTCAAGGATTATTTCAGCGTTTGTCACAGCTGTCACCAGGTCCGTGACAGCTTTGATAGTGGAAGGCTTGGTGTTACTGGTCTTTTCTTCGTCAGGGAAAATGTTTCCTGATGACCCGCTTAGTGATTCAACAACTGCTGGCGTTAACGGCGCTAGGTATCAGTAAACAACTACTGGTGTACCGTGCTGGGTATCAGTAAACAACTACTGGTGTACCCATGCTGGGTATCAGTAAATAACTACTGGTGTACCCGTGCTGGGTATCAGTAAATAACTACTGGTGTACCCGTGCTGGGTATCAGTATACTGGTGCACCCGTGCTGGGTATCAGTAAACTACTGGTGTACCCGTGCTGGGTATCAGTAAACAACTACTGGTGTACCCGTGCTGTGCATCAGTAAACAACTACTGGTATACCCGTGCTGGATATCAGTAAACAACTACTGGTGTACCAGTGCTGGGTATCAGTAAACAACTACTGGTATACCCGTGCTGGGTATCAGTAAACACCTACTGATGTACCCGTGCTGGGGATCAGTAAACAACTACTGGTATACCCGTGCTGGGTATCAGTAAACTACTGGTGAACCCGTGCTGGGTATCAGTAAACAACTACTGGTATACCAGTGCTGGGTATCAGTAAACAACTACTGGTGTACTCGTGCTGGGTATCAGTATACTGGTGTACCCATGCTGGGTATCAGTAAACTACTGGTGTGCCCGTGCTGGGTATCAGTAAACACCTACTGGTGTACCCGTGCTGGGTATCAGTAAACTACTGTTGTCCCCGTGCTGGGTATCAGTAAACAACTACTGGTGTACCCGTGCTGGGTATCAGTAAACAACTACTGGTGTACCAGTGCTGGGTATCAGTAAACAAATACTGGTGTACCAGTGCTGGGTATCAGTAAACAAATACTGGTGTACCCATGCTGGGTATCAGTAAACTACTGGTGTACCCATGCTGGGTATCAGTAAACAACTACTGGTGTACCCGTGCTGTGTATCAGTAAACTACTGGTGTACCCGTGCTGGGTATCAGTAAACAACTACTGGTGTACCCGTGCTGGGTATCAGTAAACAACTACTGGTGTACCCGTGCTGGGTATCAGTAAATAACTACTGGTGTACCCGTGCTGGGTATCAGTAAACAACTACTGGTGTACCCGTGCTGGGTATCAGTAAACAACTACTGGTGTACCCGTGCTGGGTATCAGTAAACAACTACTGGTGTACCCGTGCTGGGTATCAGTAAACAACTACTGGTATACCCGTGCTGGGTATCAGTAAACAACTATTGGTGTACCCGTCCTGGGTATCAGTAAACAACTACTGGTGTACCCGTGCTGGGTATCAGTATACTGGTGTACCCGTGCTGGGTATCAGTAAACAACTACTGGTGTACCCGTGCTGAGTATCAGTATACTGGTGTACCCGTGCTGGGTATCAGTAAACTACTGGTGTACTCGTGCTGAGTATCAGTATACTGGTCTACCCGTGCTGAGTATCAGTATACTGGTGTACCCGTGCTGGGTATCAGTATACTGGTGTACCCGTGCTGGGTATCAGTATACTGGTGTACCCGTGCTGAGTATCAGTAAACAACTTCTGGTGTATCCGTGCTGGGTATCAGTAAACTACTGGTGTACCCGTGCTGGGCATTAGTAAACAACTACTAGTGTACCCGTGCTGGGTATTAGTAAACAACTACTGGTGTACCCGTGCTGGGCATTAGCAAACTACTGGTGTACCCGTGCTGAGTATTAGTAAACTACTGGTGTACCCATGTTGGCATTAGTAAACAACTACTGGTGTACCCGTGCTGGGTATCAGTAAACAACTACTGGTGTACTCGTGCTGGGTATCAGTAAACAACTGCTGGTGTCTCTGTGCTGGGTATCAGTAAAGAACTACTGGTGTACCCATGCTGGGCATTAGTAAAGAACTACTGGTGTACCCATGCTGGGCATTAGTAAACTACTGGTGTACCCATGCTGGGTATTAGTAAACAACTACTGGTGTACCCGTGCTGGGTATCAGTAAACAACTACTGGTGTACCCGTGCTGGGCATTAGTAAACTACTGGTGTACCCGTGCTGGGCATTAGTAAACAACTACTGGTGTACCCGTGCTGAGTATTAGTAAACAACTACTGGTGTACCCGTGCTGGGCATTAGTAAACTACTGGTGTACCCGTGCTGGGCATTAGTAAACAACTACTGGTGTACCCATGCTGGGTATCAGTAAACAACTGCTGGTGTACTCGTGCTGGGTATCAGTATACTGGTGTAACCGTGCTGGGTATCAGTATACTGGTGTACCCGTGCTGGGTATCAGTATAGTGGTGTACCCGTGCTGGGTATCAGTAAACAACTACTTCTGTAACCGTGCTGGGTATCAGTATACTGGTGTACCCGTGCTGGGTATCAGTAAGCAACTACTGGTGTACCCATGCTGGGTATCAGTATACTGGTGTACCCGTGCTGGGTATCAGTAAACTACTGGTGTACCCGTGTTGGGTATCAGTAAGCAACTACTGGTGTACCCGTGCTGGGCATTAGTAAACTACTGGTGTACCCGTGCTGGGCATTAGTAAACAACTACTGGTGTACCCGTGCTGGATATCAGTAAACATATACTGGTGTATCCGTGCTGGGTATCAGTAAACTACTGGTGTACCTGTGCTGGGCATTAGTAAACTACTGGTGTACCCGTGCTGGGTATTAGTAAACAATTACTGGTGTACCCGTGCTGGGTATCAGTAAACTACTTGTGTACTCGTGCTGGGTATCAGCAAACAACTGCTGGTGTCCCCATGCTGGGTATCAGTAAACAACTACTGGTGTACCCGTGCTGGGCATTAGTAAACAACTACTGGTGTACCCGTGCTGGGTA